TAGTTTATAAATTAGATTAGAGTAGTCTAGTAATTTATAAATCAGATTGGAGAAGTCTAGTGAGCAAAATGAAAACTGTTTGCTTTTAAAAAAAAGAGTTGAATTGGATTAAGTTCGGTAAATGGCAACAGACAAATCAATTAAAGAACGGGTGCATTGGAGTAGCTATAGAAGTAATTAAGATAATGGAGGCGCTTGACTGGTACATTGAAGCCTCTTAGAATCCCCCAGCAGAGCGTGGATATTTTATGCTATATATACCCATTTCTAGAAATTAATTCAATTCAACTCTTTTTAAAAGCAAATAGTTTTAATTTAGCTTCTCAGATTCGTTTTTTTTTCTTCCTGTGTTTTTATTTGAATTATGTCCATTCTCTGAATTCTCCAGTATTTTCCGATTCATATTTTTCTTCCCCATTGTTTGTTGACTTTTCAATTCAGCTTTTTTTTAATTCTCAGATTTGTAATTTCTTCCCATGTTTGTGTTGAAAAAAAGAGTATTTGGCAGAAAACCTCCACATATTATTCATTCATTTAGAAGGGGAAAAAATGATACTTTTCTATAGACCTTCAGGAAGGAGAATTATAAGGCTTAAGGGCTATAGGGCAAAAAATTGGCCTAAGTGTTTTCGAGTCCAATCTAAAAAATAATACCCAGGTGCACACCCTCAGAATCGCCTTAGTATGCGTACAAAGTTTCAGGTCTCTAGGGTCTTTCCTCTCGGAGCTATGGCGGTCACACACACACACAGAGACAGGCTCTTTTATTATTATAACTATGTGTGGTCTAATACATCTTTAGAACATTTGTTTCAACTAACGACTACTGTTAGGCTTAAATTAAATTTAATGTCTGAGTGATACTGTTAGGCTTAAATTAAATTTAATGTCTGAGTGATACTGTTAGGCTTAGATTTAATTTAATGTCTGAGTGATACTATTAGGTTTAAATTCAATTTAATGTTCGAGTGATACTGTTAGGCTTAAATTAAATTTAATGTCTGAGTGATACTGTTAGGTTTAATTTTAATTTAATGTCCGAGTGATTCTGTTAGGCTTAAATTAAATTTAATGTCTGAGCGATACTGTTAGGCTTAAATTAAATTTAATGTCTGAACGAAAACGATTTTCAGAAACCCATTGAGCTTATTGAATTTTCATTTATTTATTTTAAATATTTTGTCGTTTAAATAGACCTAGATGGGTCGCCTCGGATGTTGTGAGGACAGTAAATGCAAGTGAATATAAGAGAAAGCTTGAAAAGTATATGAATGATAAAGTCTGGTTTGGCTTTAAGACTGTTTAAAATTTATCTATTAATAGTTCTAGTTTGGTTTAGAAGTTGGGACAGCCGAAATCGACCAATAGGTCCCATGTTGTCCCAAAATATTGTTATGTTAAACAGCACTTTCATCACATTCTCGAATGATGTCGTATATTCTAAGAAAGAAAAACTAATATTTTGAAAGTAAGACTTCACGTGTACAGCATGCAATCACAAATCTCGTGTCAGCTCGAGATATACGTACACAAAAAAAAATCTCATAAAAAATAATTTCTCGGTTAGAAAGGAATCCTTGAATTACGTCTTCTGACTTTTTCATATGTCGTTTTGACTCATATGATTTGAGTGTTCCAAATGGATCAACTGATTAACTATTAACGAATGTAGGTCAAAGGGCAAAGCCACACACACTAAAATCAACCACATAAGTTGATCAGAAACTTTCCATTTCTTTTTTTTTTTTAAATCAAAATTAGTACTAAATTTGAAAGCCTCCAAGTACCAATTGAGTTAATTTGGGTGAAATTAGAACAAAGGTCAAGGTCACGCTGGAGGTCAATTACTTTCTGTAGCCACAGCGATCCGTAGATGGAGGGCAGAAACACAAATTTCAATGTCCGATTTGGGCTCGGCGACCCCGAAAACCTACTCCTAGATCTCTGTCATGCCCGTGTGACTTTCGGGCGCATTCTAGATAACCCTTTGATATCCCCCTCGCTAGGGGAACTATGTCACACCTCTTGGTTCCGTTGGCCTGTTAACATACTTCTTATGACTTCTTTATGTTAGCCATATATGGAATATTGACAGTGCGGCTTTAATTTAGCAAACTAATTAACTCATTTTTTTTAAGTGAATCTCTTTTACCAATCATTAGCAGAATAGTTAAATTTTATTAGTCCCCCGATGAGTCAGCAGCGAGTTGAGAGACTTGGAACGCTAGAATCCGGGGCTCGGTTCCTCACAGTGGAAGGGAGGGCCGAACAGAGCGCAGATAGCCTTCGTTTCCGTTTGTTTTACAGCAAAGCCACATTGGGCTACCCGCTGCGTCCACCGCGGGAATCGATCCCCGGATTTTAGCGGGGACCGCAGATAGCCTATTGTATAGCTTCTTGCGCTAAAAACAAATCATCATTAAGTTGAAAGAGTTGCAGCGCTAGAATCCGGGGTTTGATTCCCCGCGGTAGGGGGTGGACAGAGCGCAGACAGCCTAATTTATAGCTTTGAGCTAAAAAAACAAACAATTAATCAATCAAACTTTATTAATTCAAGTTTCGATTAAACTAAAGCTTTTCCCTTCTTCGATTAGTTTTTTTTTCTTTTTCAATTTTCAAGAATCACAACGTTTGTAGCTTTAGTTAGCTGATCATTGTCACACGTCACCTTGCTGCTGGTAAATCTAACGATCCGCCATGTTTTAAGACAAGACTTTTTTTTACTATCAGAAATAAACTAAAACCGACATGGTAAATATTATTTTGACTCGTCCTCTTCTTCAAGTCAAACATCATCAAAAGTAGTTTCTTTGACAAAGGCCCCGGCACGGCCAGGTGGTTAGGGTGCTCGACTCGCAATCTGCGGGTCGCGGGTTCGAATCCCCGTCCCACCAAACATGCTCGCCCTATCAGCCGCGGGGGGCGTTATAATATGACGGTCAATCTCACTATTCGTTAGTAAGAGAGTAGCCCAAGAGTTGGTGGTGGGTGATGATGACTAGCTGCCTTCCCTCTAGTCTTTCCCTCGTGTAGCTTTGCGCAAAATTCCAAACAAACAATCCTTTGAAAAAGTTAAACAACTGACGTCAAGTCCAAGATTCCTTGAATTATATATCTACAGAAACTAAAGAAAACCTTAACCGTGCTGTAAAATAATGATCTATCAGAAGATGGTTTAAGTTGATAAGAGTAGACAAGCGAGGTTACAAAAATGTTGCCCCCTAGTGGCACAGCAGTATGTCTAGAATCCGAGTTTCGATACACGTGGTGGGCAGAGCACAAATAGTCCATTGTGTAGCTTTGTGCTTAAATACAAACAAACAAGCAAAAATGTTTGTTTAATTTCGCGCAAGTCTACCCAAAGGTTATCTGTGCAAGCCATCCTAATTTAAAAGTGGTAGACTACAGGAAAGGCAGCTAGTAAACATCACCCACCGCCAACTCTTAAGCTACTCTTCACCAGCAAATAGTGGGATTAACCTTCACAATTTAATGACCCCACCCCCCAGTGGATCAGGTGTAAGCTTGAAGGTGGGAAACCCACGTTGGGCACACAGTGCTGATAGCCAGTTATGTAACTGTGCACTTAAAAACAAGCAAATAAACATCGTAACGCCATTACACATCTCTAACTTGAGGTCCGTAGTAAAGTAATAAAAGGAAACGAACGTGATTATAGTAATTTTTTTTTTTTTTTGTCATCTGGAAAATCGTTATACGTCCCTCTTCTTTATTTTTTTTTTGTTGTTGTTGAGAAATCGGAACGAGTTAATAATAAAAAAGTCATTAATCTTTTTACTATTGTGGTTAAAACGAACATTAATTTTATCGTTTAAAGCAGTCACAATGCTCTTATATACCGTGTACTAATTAGTTTTAAGGGGCGTGTTACAAGAAAAAAGTATTTTTTTACGTCTTGTGATAAATGGCCGTCACGAGAGGCCTCTAAAAACAACAAGAAAGGGTATACCGAGGTGAACATTCGTATTAAACTTCAACCGTTGATTTAAAAAAGTCTGGTCGTTAAACCTTTTTTTTTTATTTATTTTTTATCACCGCATCTGCGATCAACCAACACTAGATATAAATCTTAAAACACTAGTTCTTACATGGATTAAAATAACAGTAATGAAGATTAACAACCGTTCCAATTCCCCCTTTATGTAACTGGAACAGCCTTATTACTTCTATATAAAAATCTTTATTTACTGCAGCCTATACTATGAATTTAAAGTTGTGATGTTACATCGTCAGAAAGTGGAATAATTTGACAATAATTTTCATGGGAAGAATAACAGTTAATACAAATGAGGGGCCCTTGCATGGCCAGGTGGTTAGGGCGCTCGACTCGCAATCCGAGGGTCGCTGGTTTGAATTCCCATCCTACCAAACATGTTCGCCCTTTCAGCAGTGGGGGCGTTATAATGTGACGGTCAATCCCACTATTCGTTGGTAAAAGAGTTGGCGGTAGGTGGTGATGACTAGCTGCCTTCCCTCTAGTCTTACACTGCTAAGTTAGGGACGGCTAGCGCAGATAGCCCTCGTGTAGCTTTGCGCGAAATTTAAAAAATAAAAAATAAATTGAGCCTAATGTGGTGTGCGTAATAAAAATGACAGTCTATCCCGTTATTCAGTTAAGAGTAGCCACTTCAGAGAAGCCCACTGCAGTGGCACAGCGGTATGTCTGCGGATTTACAACGCTAGAATCTGGGTTTCGATACCCGTGGTGGGTAGAGCACAGATAGCCCACTGTGTTGCCTTGTGCTTAACTTAAAACAAACAAAAACTTCAGAGAACCAGTGCTGCCAATTGGTTACATTATTTCTTATCTACAGTACACAGATAGGTAGAAATATACCTGAACCTTAGGGGGGTTTCTTACCCGCTATTTATCCCGTTAACAATTACTGAATAATTTGATATTTGTACGAAGATGACTGTGATAAAGAAAGTAAAACACAGTAAACCATGATTTCGGTTGTAAAAATAAGTTTAGTAACTTCGTTCATTATATACATACTTAAATTTCAATAAAACAGATCATATTTATTATTGAAGTTAAATAGCAAGACTTTAAAAGCACATCTCTTGGTTTTCGTCCACCCCTCGATGATCTTCAAATTCAACATCCTCTTCAGCTTTTCCGACATGTTTTATAGTGTTGAGCCCAATTCTGAAACTGCAAATGAAACAAAGAATTCGTTTATTTTCCACATAAGTAGTTTGTCTTTCGTTAATAATTTTAATTGTTTCTGTTGTTTTTATATCGGTTATAACAAACCTGCAACCAAACATTTGTTTCTTGAGCAGTGGGGGCGTTATAATGTGACGGTCAATCCCACTATTCGTTGGTAAAAGAGTAGCCAAAGAGTTGGCGGTAGGTGGTGATGACTAGCTGCCTTAACGACATATACATAAAAACGTGGATACACCCAAGAAACAACTTAATAAAATGATTGTTTATATTCTTTAGAAAAAAAAAAAGCCACAATGGGCTGTCTGCTGTGTCCACCTAGGGCAATTAAGCCCCGGATTTTAGCGTTGTTAGTCCATAAACTTACCGCTGTCTTATCGGGGTACTTTTTTAATAAACTAATAAACAAAATGAATAAACATGTAATTAATTTTTGTTAAATGACTTTTCGGAGTTTTGTTATCTTACTTAATTAACTATTTTTGAAGGCTTTTTTTTTTTTAATATTCTCAGCGCGAGACAATACATTTTGCGTGTTAAAACTGTTGTTTCATACAAAAATCTTAAAATCGTGCGATGTTAGGTTTCTTCTATTTTCACTTAAACGTTGAAAATTACTTGAATTTAAAAACTTAAAATAACCGGGTATATAAAACACAAACCTAATCATAGTAAAAACGAAGAGAGAGAGGAAAGGGAAATCGTGAATAAGTTGTAATATCGGAGTGAGTAAAAGACATACATTGTGCGTAATCTTCGTTACTACCGTACTGAGTCCTAGCACGAGAGAAGATATGGCGGAGAGGTAAAAAACCTGTACGTATGGTACTGTAAGATTCCGGTATCGTCTCTTATTTTATAAACCGCCATTTTAAGGAATTACGAAACCCGTTGTGTGATCAAGTCCGTAGTTCTATTTACCTTATGAGCTATAAAGCATGCTTTAACCATCGCTCCATCTATCTAACAACTGACTTTCAAATATTCTTATTTTATAAACCGCCATTTTAAGGAATTACGAAACCCGTTGTGTGATCAAGTCCGTAGTTCTATTTACCTTATGAGCTATAAAGCATGCTTTAACCATCGCTCCATCTATCTAACAACTGACTTTCAAACATTCTATTTCAACTGTTGCCCTCACCCAATCAGCTTTAAGCACTCCACTTTATACTGTTTCTGTGGCCTTAGCTTAAGGCAACATACAAACTGCAGGAGCATTAATATTATTAAGCAACTAGCACAAAATGTGACGAAAATTGTACAATATTAGTTAATGGGTCTTCGGGTTTATCTTTAATAATCTTTTGCAAACATATCCTGATCCTGGAAGTTAAGGGGCGCTCGACTAGTCATCTGCAGGTCGCGAGATCAAAACCCGTAGCCAACAATGCTCGCCCCCTTTTAGCCGTGAGGGAAAGGCATTATAATCTGACGGTCAATCCTACTATTCGTTTGAAAAGAATAGTCTATGAGTTGGCGATGGGTGGTGTTGACTAGCTGCCTTGTCTGTAGTCTTTCACTGCTACATTAGGGATGGCTAGTGCAGACAGCCCTCGAGTAGCTTTGCACAAAATTCAACAAACAAGCAGGCCCTACCTCCTTAACAAAAGGCCTTAGGCGGCTGCGTTGTCTTAAGAATGGCTATGTCTTCTATCATTGCTGACAGTTAAGTTACACTGGGGTTGCTTCTATTGTCAGCTATCTTCATTATGTAATTCTGTATTTTAACAGTGTTATAAACTCAGTAACTCACTATTATACGCTACCATACGATTTTGTGGTGTGTGTTGTTTGCACCTTATACACCTTGTGGTGTGTGATAGTGAATCGATTTTGAGGTGTTTAGTGTATCAAGTTTTCACTCTATGCCTCACCACATGATTTTGTGGTGTATCAAGTTTTCACTCTATGCCTCACCACATGATTTTGTGATGTATCAAGTTTTCACTCTATGCCTCACAACATGATTTTGTGGTGTATCAAGTTTTCACTCTATGCCTCATCAAATGATTTTGTGGTGTATCAAGTTTTCCCTCCTTTACATCTTCAAGCTGCTGTGAGAGACTATGTGAACTTGCATTGTTTTGTTTTTTGTTCTGTGTTACTTCAAAATAACTTAATTTATGTTTGGATGACAAATTTATGTTGAGTAACCTACTAAAAATCTACAGGAATCGAACCCAAAACAGAATTGTATCATTCTGTTATATCCAGCATGGCACTAGAGTATTGTGATGCGTTGTAACCTGGCCCTAGAGTATTGTGATGCGTTGTAACCTGGCCCTAGAGTATTGTGATGCGTTGTAACCTGGCCCTAGAGTATTGTGATGCGTTGTAACCTGGCCCTAGAGTATTGTGATGCGTTGTTGGGATTCGAAAAAAGTTGGTTTTCATTCGATATGAGGGAAAGTCAAAACAAAAGTTTTAAACGTTTCTATAATTACATTTCGTGATCAGAATAGACGCGTGGGATCAAACTATGATATTATAGCACGTGCTCATTTTCAGTCGGAAATCGAATTTTGTTTCGTTGTTCGAAAATTATCGCGCAAAACTACATAAAGACCGAGTAGTGGGATTTATTTGGTCTTTCTTATAGCGCCAACAACAACCTCCAAAGAGCGACGGTGTTTTTGCAGTAACAGAAAGGGAATATACAATCGCAGCACGCCTAACACTGAGAAACGTCCAGGCAAAGAATTCAACAAAAATAAAGATTTCTCACCAACCAGTTGAACGAAAACACCGAGACGAAGATCGCTCGCTATCTGATGAATATTTAATTATTAAACTTCAACCTGTCCGAGGGTATTATTAGACATGAACGAGATAAGGCTACGAAAACACCGAGACGAAGATCGCTCGCTATCTGATGAATATTTAATTATTAAACTTCAACCTGTCCGAGGGTATTATTAGACATGAACGAGATAGGGCTGTTAATAGTTTTTTTTTGTTTTTTTTTCACTTGTTCATTGTAAAGAAGTTATATCTCGCAGTCCTGGTTTATTTTCTTTGTAATATTCATAGTCGTTAGGTTCTTCTTCAATTAGTTTGGGTTTGAAAAAATAATCAATAAACATACTACAGTGCCTTGACTACATACCTGACACACGCATCATACTACAGTACCTTGACTACATACCTGACATAACATACTACAGTACCTTCACTACATACCTGACATAACATACTACAGTACCTTCACTACATACCTGACACAACATACTACAGTACCTTCACTACATACCTGACACAACATACTACAGTACCTTGACTACATACCTGACACAACATACTACAGTACCTTCACTACATACCTGACATAACATACTACAGTACCATTCCTTTTGACACCCCGAACATATGTAACATGGGTCTTTGGAACCGCATGTACCACACACAGATGAGCTCAATAAAGCGTCGCTGTTGGTGGTGGTGGAAACACCAGACACTGTACAAACAGCAGAAACAAGTTTTGATTGACCAGACACTGTAGAAGCAGGAGAGACAACTGTTGTCTGTCCAGATGCTGTAGAAGCAGGAGAGACATCTATTGTCTGTCCAGATGCTGTAGAAGCAGGAGAGACATCTATTGTCTGTCCAGATGCTGTAGAAGCAGGAGAGACATCTATTGTCTGTCCAGATGCTGTAGAAGCAGGAGAAACATCTATTGTCTGTCCAGATGCTGTAGAAGCAGGAGAGACAACTGTTGTCTGTCCAGATGCTGTAGAAGAAGGAGAAACATCTATTGTCTGTCCAGATGCTGTAGAAGCAGGAGAAACATCTATTGTCTGTCCAGATGCTGTAGAAGCAGGAGATACAAGTTTCGACCGACCAGACACTGTAGAAGCAGGAGAGACAAATGTTGTCTGTCCAGATACTGTAGAAGCAGGAGAGACAAATGTTGTCTGTCCACATGCTGTAGAAGCAGGAGAGACAAATGTTGTCTGTCCAGATGCTGTAGAAGCAGGAGAGACAAATGTTGTCTGTCCACATGCTGTAGAATTGTCCACTTCCGTAGTTGGTCGCTTCGTTGTCGAGTTCTGCATTAAAGCCAAAGTAAATAAGACTATGTGAAGGTCTATAACTTTATACCGGTAATATGAAACGTATATATATATACATACATATGATTGTTGTTTATATCTATATCCACACTCACACAGATTAACAAATGTATATAACTATTAAATACTATACCAGTTGGACTCACCACAGTTCAATCGCTACAGAAAAGCAAGTTCGAGGAATAAGAATTATAACAATGTCTAGCAGCAGTTACGATCTGAGAACATGAAAACTTAAAGTGTTGTAGAATAGAAGTAAATAGTTATTCATGTGAAGTGTTGTTTTTTTTTCTTCTTCTAATCATCATTAATGTGAAAAGATAAACATCTGAATAACATCCCACTTGTGGTGCAAGTTCACTTCGCAAACATACTTTAAACCATAGGCTTAACCGTTCCATATTTATATAACTTGAAACACTACCCGATATAATTTCGTTGTGCTTTAAAACGAAGCATCACTTCTAAGGTTTCACACTGATGTGATTGGTGTTACGCAGAGTAATAAAACATTAATAAGTACATGTTAGTAGCATCCCAGTGTGGCTGAAATATTAGAGGTGTAATGGTTAAAGATGGGGAAAATCTAAACATGAATTCACTCCATCGTCCATCTTATTTATTTACTCAATAAATCTGCGCAAAAATAAATAAATAAATAAACACTTCCAAACTTTCTTTTCACGCCTAAAACTCGTGTATTAAATTCAAATTACGTCATGTAAATTAATTTTTTTTTCGCAAACATACAAGTGCACCAAGAATGTAATAGTACCACAGAAGCATATGTCGAATATATATATATATATGTCAGTTATTTTCGTTAAAGCAAAAGATGAAGCCTAATTTCTCGGTAATTTTTAGCGAAATATTTGCCTTAATATTTATAATTGAACTGGCTCGAGCCTACAAGATGAGACGTGAATCATGTTTTCCATTGGCCCTCCTCCCAATTAAAACAAAGTTCGAACGAAAATGGATATCTAGAGGTATTTACTGGAGATGGATTTTGATCAGTCCAAATGATACCATCAATATCAACGTAAGTACCTAGTAAAAACCAGTTAATCTTTTCATATTCTATCGTGGGATTTGGTAATTCGTTATGTCTTACAATGCTTTTACCTTTCTTG